CTTGCCTTTATTTTTAACGTAACGTTATAAATTGACCAAAACAGAATAAAATTTATTTTATTTTAAAGATAATGGCACTCCCTGGTGCACTGGTGGCTATTGTTGTGAATAGAATTTTGGATGCTGACAGAGAACTTGAAGAGTTGATACTAATTTGGAGGATGCGTAGAATATTACAAAGAATGCATTTAAGAGTAAGTTTCATTTGAATTGCCAGCTCTGTAGCTCCAAGTTTACTAAAAAATATATTCCCTTCTGTTATTTTACACCCATAAGTACGGAAATCTTTGTGCATGACTGCTATTTCATTGTAGATAGGACTACAGTACTGCAGACCTCTTCTGAATAGGAGAGCAACTTCTCTTCTTAATTTAGAGGGAAAAATTTTGAAGGAAGATTGCCGTCTGTCACCTGAGGCATTCCATGCTCTCATGCGCCTCCTAATTGTTGATTTTTTTCGAGACCGTGGATTTTCCCTTGAGTTTGCTGTAAGTAAACTATTTCATGTTGAATAGTTTTAAAAATGTTTTTTTTTGTGCTTAAAATATAAAACGAAACATTGTTGTTCTCTGCAAAGTCTACATGGTATTCACAAATGTGTAAATTACTTGCCACTATCCTTACTTTGTTTAATCCAGTCTTTTTGAACCACAGGTGATAGTCACATTGTATTGGCTGGCAGTGGGAATGTCCTACAGGTTTTGTGGCAATACTTTTGGCATTGCCCGCGAGACTGCTTTTGATCTAGTAAATCTAGTTTTAGATAGAATAATTTCTATAGCAAAGCAAGTTATTAAGGTACCTGCAAACCCTCATCAAGTTGGTGAACAGTTTGCCATAATGGCAGATTCACCTGCATTTTCCCAGTGTGTTGGAGCTATTGACGGCTGCCAGGTTAACTTTATTGTTGATGATGCTGAAAGAAGCCAGGAGTACATCAACAGAAAGCTCTACTACTCGATCAATTTGCAGGGTCTAGTGGATCATAGAGGCCGCTTCCTCGATATCTTTGTAGGGTTTCCTGGCAGCTGTCATGACCAGAGAGTGCTGCGACACAGTGGTTCATTTCGGGAGGCCGTGTACTCACCAAGGGGGTACTTCATTATTGGTGATGGAGGGTATATGTGTCTGAGGAACCCCATCACAATAATAACGCCATACCGAAATGTTAATTTGACAGATGATCAGAAAAGTTTTAATTACCATCTAAGCAGGGCTAGGGCTGTAGTGGAGAGGTCCTTCGGTTTACTGCAGGCTAGATAGGTGCAATTCAGGAAAGCGGTGAAGGTAATTGCTGCATGCTGTGTACTGCACAATATCTGCTTAGACGAAAATGACAGAATTCCTCACGACAGAAGAATTCGGAGGAGGCAGATAGTCCCAAGACCTGAACTAGATGGTGCAAGATACAGGAACATCATATGCTTAGCTCATAATTTAGGAAGACGTCAGGCAGCCCTACAGAGACAGTTAGAAAATGAGGTTTAACATTGTTGTATAGAAATAATAGGATTCAAACTTTATTTGCTTTTGTTTTTTTCTTTAACAAAAAGGAGCATTTATAATTTTCTTAATGTTCATTTCACTACATAGCTTCAACCTCTTAGTACTTGAACTATGTTTCAAAGATTGTGAATTATTCATTACCTTGAAATAAATCAACTAATACAGATAATTCTACAAAAATAAGATGATATTTGATATCACAATACTGTTTCTATCAGTCTTATAAAAATCAATAAAAATAAAAGTTAATCGATATCATGATTTGAGTTTTCATTTGCTTATCTCAACAATAAAGGAAATAGACAGTCATAGCATAAATCAATGAAATAAAAAGGTACGTGTCATATCACAATGAAAGTTGTCAAACTTAAAATTCTAGCAAAAAATATCACTGATCTATATGACCAAACAAATGACAAAAAACGAAACAAAAATATAAACAGCATGCATGGGACATGCAGAGAAAATATGAAAAAACTTTAACTAAAAAAAACATGTAGTTGGGAGTCCTGCATTCTATTTTGGCACCAAATCCTTCAAAACTCCAACTGAGACATCTCTTGCTTCCGGTCTTCTCTATTCTGCACAAGGAATTCTTTAAGCCAGTCATCAGTAGGTTTTTTTTTTTTTTCTTTTTCGTTCTTCTGCTTCTTGTTGGATTTTTTGTAGAAATCACTGCACCTCTTGCTTCCTGATGCAGTAACTGAAACTTCAACATCATCCTCCATATCAGCCTCAACATCAGCTTCAACACTACCGTCATTTCCACTTGCAGGCAATACAACCTCCGATTCTATGTATTCAGGGGGAATGGTTGAGGCTGAGCCAAGGTACTCAGATTTTGATGTAGCATAAGAATGTTCTCAACACTGAAATCTGGTGTCATGTGGAAACCACTTGTGGATGGCATAGAGGTGTCCATGAGGGCAGGCGGGTTGAAAGTATGTTTTGGCTCATGGTACTTTGATAACATCTCAAAAACTTCAGGATCCATGTCTAAAATACCACAATCACCATCTTCAGTGCTCTCACCAGTATTATGGGCGGAGGGATTCATTAAGTTCTGTCAAGGAAAATATTGTTAACGACACATGTAAATGACAATTAGTAGTACATAAACGTTTTCTCCCTCAGCTAAAAAAGTACCTTCCATTTGATGAGCTCATCTGACCATTTCCTCTTAATTTTTTTGTCATTTTCTCTTGTGATAATAAGCGTTTTCAGCTCCTTTTTCACCTGACTGCAACACAACAATCAACAATGTCAACGTGTGCAAAGATGGAAATAATTGATAGAAACAACAGTTAGTGATCTTACGTCTACCCTCTGCTGACATTTCCTTTTGAGCCAGTAAATAGGGAATCATGTTTTATCCTAGTTTTCACCAGAGCTCTCGTTTCTTCGTCGGTCCCTGAAATGTTTGTGATTGTCATTATAGAACAAGTTCACCGTAGATAAAACCTTGCGATGCGATTAATCAACAAACTGTACTTACATAATTCTACGGTGGATTTTTGTTGAGCCATCGTAAATAAATCACATAACACAACAGTCAAAAAGTCTACACAACGCACGAGCAGGTCTGAACAGGTTAACTTCAACTTCCTTCAACGCCGAGAAACGAATGTGAATGCCGTGGTTCTGCTAGCGCCGAGAGCGGCTTGCCCGGCTCGCAACGGACGAGGAGCAAACCGGCCGGACGGTACCGGCCCAACCGTCCAGCCGACCAACAAAGTGCACCCCTCGAACGTTCAATTTGGACCAATTTTGCCATGGCAATCCGCCCATCGTTATTTGAGGGTTAATAACTTCTCCATTTCGACTCTGATCGGCTCTGAGCATAAGACATTTCCTTTTCAATTCCGAAAAAGGAATCCAAATCTTGGATTACACTTTTAATTTTGTAACTTCTAAAAAAATCCTAATTTTCAATTTGGTTATTTTAACAAAAAGGAATGGTGTTTACTTGTAGAATGATTGGAAGTCACCTAATCTTTCAATAGGACTTGTCAAAACGATTGTTAAACACACAACTTATTTTTACAATAGCCATGGACTTGCAAGGGACCGAACAATATTTTAGAGAGTGTCGTTAACTCAGGTAGGATAGGCCCATCAAAATCAGAACAAGGTATATCACTTTCTTAAATTGACTAGCTTTGTCTAAAGTCACATTATGTTTAATGATATCCAATAAAATGGTGGGAGCATTTAAATTTAACTCTATGATACGATACATTATAGAACTTAAATTAAATATACTTCAGCGAGTCGTGATCCTTCAAATGCTTCGGAGAGATCTGATAAAAATGAATAAAAGAGCGACAAGTTATACTTGTCGTAGGTGAGTAGTTTAAATGTATTTTGAAATTATATTAAATATTAGGGTATTTTATTTCACTTCAACCAGAGGCAACCCAATACAATTTCACCTTTCACAAATAAAATGAATTGAATGAAATGGGAGCATCAAGCATCATGTGGCATTACAGAAAAGGGTAAATTGAGTGGGGGAGGGCAGTGGGGATAGGAAGGGACAGTAGCAGACATGTTCTGTATGTGCACTTCAGGAACGCATAAATTTAAGCCCCCCCCCCCCCTCTTTATCCAGCCACTGTTACAGTTGTGTGTTTACCAAAACAAATCAACCATGTATTTTGATGAATAGAAACCAGACTTCCCAGTATCAAGCTTTTCTAGTGGACTTCCAAATCTATTATTATATTGCATAGTAATTAATCAAGTTCACTACTCACTAAAAGTACCTGTTGTAGAGAGAGTGGTGCAAGGGATTTGAACTCTAGTTGAATACAGCGACACAACCAGACCAGACCGCGGTTTAAGGTCCGGCTGGTCCCTCCCCCCATCTCTCACGTTCAAGGAGCAGAATCGGTTGCCTACCTACTAGGTGGACCCTCATTCATTATAGTTTTGTTCTATAATTGTTACGTCTTCTGTTATATTAATGCACTTCGCTCAGCTACCCCGTGCATAATGTTAACGCACGGGGCCCTACGTTTGTAACTGTTTCCGGTCGGGATTCTTGTTTTCTTCTCTTTGAGCCGAGACCAATTAGGGTCTATAGGGTCTATTGGTTTAATATCAACGCGCGCAGGGTACCTGCCAACTCTTCTTAGTTGAGTGGTATGGCAACGTTTTCCACACAAAATTCCAAGATTGTAGCGGATTCTACACGCTTCTGCTTTTTTGTATCGGTGACTTGGTGTCACTGATTGTTTACGTCCTCCTTTTGAACATTCAATGTCCCGAGGAAAAGGCAAAATTTTGCGAAACAAATTTGCTGAAACCGGTTGTGGCAATACTCGAAGACAAAGGTCTCGGGTAATTCACAATGCGTTTCTGTTGAAGAGGCATTGACTTACTGATATGACCCTTCCGGAAGGGCGGGGCGGGGCCAGGCGGGGGAGCCACGCGCACTGCTGTTCGACTCTAGAACCGCAGATCGGTTGCAAGCCACATAACAAGATTCTTACCGCTTTAGATACACACGGTGTTCCTAGGTGAAAGTACTGCGCAAGTTCTGGGGGCAAATTTTCTTTCGCGGCAGTGCAGGCTCTGTTTCGGAAGTTCAAGACAAATGCATTCTCTTTCCATTGGTTGTTGGAGCGGATATCGACCTTGCCACGTGCCTGTCGAGAGAAATGACACGTTTGCGGGTTTAAGTTAAGACTTATTGATCTTCTGGCCTTACAAGTGTTAATTTTGCCTAAAATTAATTACTAACAAGTTTGCCTTGCTCGAAAAAATAGTAAAAATAATTTTACCGCTAAACTTTAAGTTTCTACCGTTCCACAGTTTCCACAGTTCTTTCTGATCATAAAAACGACTTTTTAAAGACACGAGTTGCCAGGAAAGTAGCCAGCATGATGCTACAGAAAAAACACGCCCTTTTTTATTAGTCGTGGTGCAATAATTTTCAAGATATAGTGACAAACTTCTTTTGGTTTTCTATATAACAACTATATTACCTTCTAAATGGTGTTCGCAAACTTTTGATTAGAGCAATTCTGTATTCTGCTACAACGCACTCGGAACCTAAAGAAGAAAAGCATGACATCCTGGTCTGTTTCCTTTTGAGCGCCAATGACCACACAGAGCCCGTACTGAAAAATTCGGCCTCAGCATGGGTCTAGAATGGCTCCGTCGTAGCCATTCTGAACACATCGCGGAGGATCGCTGTGATCAGTCTCCAGCTTTTGCGTACCCGAGGCGTAGCCATCGCGAATGGCTCCGCAATAGGTAACTTAATGACGGAAAGAGCCATTCCGCAGCCGCTTTGGAGCCAAACATAGGCCGGCACCTGGACGTCGGGGAGCCATTTCAGAGCCATCGGGGGGCCTTTACCGGGGACACTTAAGATACGTTTTGGAGCCAGTTTCGGGCCATCTAAAAGACAACCTAGAGCCAAGCTGGAGCCGACCAGGAGCCAACCTGAAGCCAACACAGTTTCGGTGTTTTTCGGGAAAAAAAAACTGGAACTGGAACGTCAATCGGCTATCTTTATCAAAACTGG